TTGGAGGATGAACGAATAATGCTCGGAAATTCCAAAGACCCACTGTGCTTGACAAAGTACAGCCTAATAACCATTTTGGCATAGTGAACAATTATATCAAATGCTTCTCAGACATGTTTATTTCAATACTGCCAAAGGTTGAAGGGTAAGGGGACCATGGGATATGGAGTTCAAACAAATTCTAAAAATGTAGAAAAGCTGGAAGACTTAAAACAAAACAAAAAAAAAAAAAAACAAACAAAAAAACTCCGAACGAAAACTGAATGTCTTCACTTATTACTCTGGAGAGTATGAATCACAAACATCTTCATCTTTGTGCCTCCTCTAATACTCCCCAACTCAACCTTTCGCTTCTATTCAGGTCTGGTGATTTGACCTCTTACAAACCTATAAAATTTCTCAGTTGGGCATATTAAATAAACATCAAATAAATTAAATGACCTGTCAATGGCAGTAATTGTGATTTCAGCTTTTTCAGTCTGCGGTAAAAGGGATGTAATCTGGCTATGTCTACAAAGTACTAGTGTTGCAACACTGTCTTCTAAAGTCAGGTTCTTTTTTTAATAAGTGCTACAACCTATTAATTGGAGGAATCTGAACTTTCATAATGCGCCGATGCCATCAAGTGCAAACTATTGCACAACCGTATTCACAAGCCGTAGGACTGTTCATTAATAACAGCCATTAGATCACTACCTTGAGCGCCTATCCTTCTTAGTTTTTTCAATGCTTTTGTCCATTGTTTTTTCATTGTCCCCCCTGCACTTTGGACAGTACCACTTTCCTTTGGGCTTGTAGGTAAGTCCGACACAAGAAAAGTGAAACCATTCAATGGGACACTGTTCATTGTCACAACCAATCATCTCGCCATAAGACACCTGGTCACACAAGCAGTAGGTAGGCTCGTTGGGGTCGATGGTGTACTCCACTGGTGAGACTTCACGCTTTGGAGCCTTTGAACGCTTCTTCTTCTTGGCGGATTTAGACTTCTTCTCTTTGGGCGGAGGCTCATCACCCTGCTCATCGACGCCATTGGCCGTGTAGCAGGAATCGCGGCTCTCACTATTACGCTGGCGTCGCTGCCGCCGGGCGGAGGAGCGCTCCGGGGGCTGTACCTCTTGTTTAGTTTTCTCAACGGGTGTCTCAACCTCACTGGGCTCCTGGAAACAGTGCGAGTGAGAATCCATTTGCCGCGCACGGTTCTCAACCAGCTCTATCATTTGCGTAACCAAGTGTATCTTCTCATCCCCCAGCTCCTGGCTGCTGATGAGAGCCCGCTGGAGTTGGTTTTGAAGTCGTTTTCTTTGACTTGTATCAGTCTCTTTTTTATACTTCTCATAAACATCATCCACCTCTTTCAGTACGTCTGTTAAACACAGAAAAAGACAGTAAGATATGAGTTTCAAAAGGGCTTGATGTGTTCCGATATAAAATTTTCAGTACTGGAAATATAAACATCTACGATAAGTAAAAACTGAATTAAATTCTATTTCAATACATACTCAAAATGCATACAAAAATCAGCATAAGTGCTGAGGTTATGCTATATTAAACACTCAAAATAATCAATATAGTAATAATATTAATGCCAGTATTAAAGACAGAGTAATTTTCTTATACTCCTTTTATTAAAAGAAGTTTAAATCATTATGCCACACAATTATTTATTCACACATCAACCACTCACTAGATTCCTAGAAAAAAAAAATAAGTGAAATCGAAACCAGAGTAAGACCCACAACCCATAAATACTGGAAGCGTTTCGGCATATGCAGGGGCAATAAATCGTCAAGTACACTTTCCTTGGTTTTTCTTGGTGAGTTGAGCTAATAACGTAAACTGAGGTTTTTGTTATGGCAGCTAGCTGGTTTTTTAAATATTGAGGCTGACGTGGGATTTAAGGTTGGTCTGCGGTTCCACTTCCGCATCGAGCGCGTTCTCATTTCCAGGAAGTGACGACATGCAACCCTCCGCTCTGTGACTCGCTTACTGAAATGCGAGCGGTGTCGTTCCCGACGAGGGGAAAACTTGGCCATTGTCTCCAAGTACCCTGATTTTGTTAGGATTACGTAAATTACCAGGACGGAAACGTTGCACAAAACGACTCGATGATCAGTGAAAACTTAATTTGCTTATTTTGTTATTTCGCTCTGCGAGCGGACTTGGGGTAAAGAGAAGGAAGCGGTCTGCCCGATAATTGAAAAACTGCTGAAGTAATCGCTCAAAAACCAAATGTCAAACTATTGAACAGTTTACACTAACAAGTGACGCTGTAAACCCGACAACTTACGTTTGCAATTTTAAAAATTTTCCAACAAATAAGACCCATTATTTGCTTCTAGTCGGTGCAACATAAAAACACCCGAATTGTTCATTTCACTTATTTAAGCTAGCTACCGCATGATAAAACATCGTCATTAGAGATATAATGCAGGTTCCAGCTCTACACTGAACGTATACAGTACTCTAGTAGGCGTGCTATCCGACTTATCCACCTATTTGTTGTCAAAATGGCTGATCCCCTTCTGGAGTCATACTTGACTCTGAACAGCGCATATCAGTACTATATCCAGGGGAAAAAAACTAACTAATTTGTACAGGCATGTAAACATTTGAAACAAGTAAAGAACAACCTTTTGCTAAATTAAGCATATGGAACAACAAGGAATCTGCTTGCGATTTTGTAGAACACCGCGATAAGTGTGGCTTTCAACAACTGCCGTATTGTAAGTGTGTATAAACTGTTACATACCCTGATACTTCGTATCAATTTCTCGTAGCAACGAAACATTCCTCTGTATGTCCAAAGGCAAAGACTCCACACATTCCAGATAATCTTCCACATAGCTAACCAGTTGTGTCTTTTCCACGCTTGGGTAATGATGCCCCAACATAATGATAGCGCTGCATGAAACGAATCAACAACACCTACGACTAGAAATAAATGTTTTAAGTGACCACATTTACAAGAACTGTTGCAGTTACGGATAGCGATTCTATTCTTTCTATACAGCTCAATCCGCCAGTCTTAACTGCAATTCACTTCAAACAAAACTACCATTTCTGCGCATGCGTAAAAACATTCCTTATAAGGCAATGAACCGCGTTTTTTGCATTTTCCCGCAGCTTCCTCGAAAGGGGGTTGGGCCGCACTGCTGAGGTCAAAGTTCATGAGCGCGGTGATGTCAGTCTCTGTAGCTCCGTAACAGATTTGTTACATGTATACTGATCTGATTTCCTTCATTACGAAAAGAAGATGTTGTTTGACCTATATGAGTGCATCACACGGCTGACACGTATGTGGTGGGGAGCAAGAAAATACCGGCGTTTAATCACCCAGCCCACATCTGTTTCTTCGCAGTAACCATGGAAACGACGATAGCTCTAGTAAACAATAAGTGACGATTTATAAGATACAAAATATTCCACTAATAAACAGGAACAACACTAAATGTCATCTGCTGTCTTTAGTTCTATATTAGTCGGTTAGATACTGTTATAAGCATCTGTGGGAATGTTTGCTGCAGACTAGCTTTTAATCTCCTGTATGCAAACAATTCATCATCGTCTGTGAAAATACGTTACACAGTGGTGCAAACGCTATCTGGGCAGACTGTCGCAGCTTGAACGAGAAGGAATGAGAGGTTGCGATACTGATAGTTATGAATTATTACAATGCATTGCAACGACTTGACAGAATTGACAACTTATACACTAAAATTCACTATACATGGCGAATACAAAAGTGCATACATTTTCTTGTGGTATTATAAATCATTTACCTGTAGTTATAAATTTATAATGCTTTATATTCCGTTGTGAATTTACAGGCGTCACATCTTTGATCATTGGGCCAGGAGGCTAAACATCTTAACAGTCATCAGAGGAACGCAGGCCACTGAGAATCAGTCCAATTCTCACGTTGATTTTTCTCAAAAAGTAATAAAGAACACTCCTGGAAATGTAACTGAATGAACAATATTCTTCTATGAAATAAATTATGAAATACGAAACAGTGTTAGAATGAAACTGTCACTTATACATTGTGCAGAACATTCAGACAGACTTTTCCTATTTTTGTTACGTAACAGCAGTATTGTGTTACGGACTAAAATTATTTTTAAATGACAAAAATGTACTCCATGCATCATATTAAAAAGTAGTTGATGGTAAATCCTCTATATTTTTGTAACTGTTATGCAACCACATGTTGAATTTTGAAATATCTAAAACGGTTTTATCAAGCACTAACTTTCTAGAAGCAATCTTAGTGTTTATGAATATTATGATATTTCAGGTTTTTATTTTAATACATTTGAAAAATCTGTACAAATGTCATGTCCTGCCCTGCCTGACCCTACTGATTCCTCCCTGGTGTAGCCACGCCTGCTAATCCTTTGCCGTATCTCTCGTTCCAGCCCTCCCGTGATTCACTCCAACTGCGTTTGTTGGATCCCTTGTTAGCCCTGCTTAAAAGGGCTTCTCTGTGTTGTGTTAGTTCCGTCATTGATGTTGTACCCCAGTCTTATGAGCCTTAGCCTCTCCATTTGTCGAAAACTTGTTCGGTACTCGAAGCTTTTATAAATGGTGAACATTAGTGACACCAGGTGGTCAGATAAGTAAATTGCAGTTCATTCTGACTGAGTGTAGTGCTTCGGAATATATACAGATAGGCAAAATTTCAAGAGGTCTGTAGTGCTTTATGAACATGAATGTACTGGTTAAGTTGGGCGGCGCAATTCCTTGTGAATTGGGCAACCTTTGAATTAACGGTTAAGGGCTGCTTGTGTAACTAAAGAGGGGCCATTAGTCTACAGATTGTTGTTGAGGCACAGTATTTGTTTAACAATGCAGAGGCCAAGTTGCTTACATTTTTTATTCACAACTTCTCCTACATCAGAGAATACACATGGAACGGATGATGCTGGAGTGCATAAAAACTGTATTGCATGTTCTTATTAGTGTGGATACCCAGCCTTCTGCATATCCCAGAACTGCAAAAGGGTCTTCAGTATGCAGTAAATTGGGGTCACTGAGATACTGCCCAACCTCCACAGAAGCATCGCTGTCGAACCCTTGACCCATCTGCTTTCCCCTCCACCACTGTCCAGAAGATCCCGCAGACCTGGAACTAAAATGACAAAGCATGAATCATTATATACACTATGCATTTTGTACTGTGCAATAATAATGATATGCCACAATTCAGTTTAATTGAACAATATTATTAAAATGTGAAAGGTTGGAACAGTACCTTTGGGCATTGCAGAACTTGATGAGGTTCCTGCAGGCTCCGGTTCTGGTGGCTGCATGCACGTGGGTGTGAATGGGTTATGTTGGGCCTCCTGTAAACTTACAAAGGAGGTGTTTCACAGCAGCCTGAGCATGAGATTGGTTACAGAAATCTGCAGATTTCGCATCTTGGGGCCAGCAGTGTGGCCAGTGTCATAATGCTCATGGTCTCATAGATTGACACCCTCTCGGAGAAGCAACTTCAAGAGGTGCTTGCACAACTGCTGGGTCTTGACATTCTGTGTCTGGGACAGTTTCAGGTTCACAGCAGGTGGAGGCGATAGCGGGGGTGCTCCAAGCTATCTACATGTGGATGAGAGGAATTACCTTGGATCCTGATACTCTCTTCAGAAAGTTCAACAGTTGCCTCATTGAAATGGCGTAAAACACCCAGACACTCATAAACTATGTCATATTCCTCTGAGGGTTGTAAGCTGTGTTCTGACAGCTGTCTGACTAATGCAGCACCAACTGGCTGTCTTTGATCATGCAATCGTTGTAGCATGGAATAGGTGCTATTCCAGCGGGTTTCCACTTCTTGAATCAATTTGAGAGTGCGCCTACCCATCTGCTGTTGAATTCGGCAAAGCCCTTCTCTAGCAGTTGCACTGGTTCTGAAGTAGGTCATGATATGTCTTGCCTTGGATCTGATATCATCAAGTCCTTGTGTCTGATCAATGGCCTTCTCCACAAGCAAATTCAGTGCGTGTGCAATGCAGGTTGTGCATCTGACTTTTAAATTTCTGGCACAGGCAATCAGATTCGGCGCAGCATCAGTGACAAGCCGTCAGACTTTATTTTGCATTCCCCTCCATCAAGCCTGTCTTGACTGCAACTATGTTTTCTGCAAAATAAGACTGTGGAAATTTTCCTGCTCCCAATAATGCTGTAGACATTTATAAAATGGCACGTGACTGATAAATAAGCATTCATATGTATGAATGTCCACATGTTAGATGTTAGACTTGCTGCTTTGGCCTTCTTCACCTCTTCATTTGCTTTCTCTTTTTCTCTCTTAAATTTTTCTCCTACCGTACCCTTCAGTGTTTGCCTGGATAGGAGAATGTAGGTTGGATCCAAGATACTCACAAACCCCCTAAATCCTGAATCCTTCACAATCATGTTGACCAAAGCCTCATTCTGTTTCTTGGTCTCTGTAATGGGAACTGAAAATATACACGGTATCATTATACAGATTATTGGGTAATACCCTCACCCAAGTCTGATATTATGTATTCATACAATTAAACTGTTTCTTGAGCACAATAAAGAATAATTACACAGGACAACAAAAAAAAACATTTTTTTAAATCGTCAGAGACCAAAATATATTTTTCAGTTTTTCATGTTGATTCCATATCTGTTTTCAGTTTTTTTCTGTCACGTCAACTTTTTGATTTATGAGTAATGCTAGTTAATACCGTAATTGCAAGTATTGTGTACTAAAACAAAAGCATCACTGTGGTATAGGGTAAAATATTCTTGAGAGCAAAATGAAATAAACAGACAGTAGGCATAAAGAAATTGAAAAGTGTTTGTTAACCATCATTGTTTCTTCAAAAACGCTTTGAGTTTGATTGTCTTGTGTACACCTTGTCTGGATTGTCGTGGTGCAGCATCCAGCAGTAGTCGGCCATCATGCTTTCACTGTAACCAGCTGCACCTTCTCCATACTTCTCATCACCTTCTACAGAATCAAGACCATCATGTGGCGGTACAGGAACAGACAATGAATCATCATGAGGAACAGGCCTGAATGCAGAATCTAGGCTGGGATATACAATTTTGTGCTTAGTTTTAGCTGAGGATCCACTTGTATCCGTGCGGCAAAAGTAGCAGTCGTTGAGATGATCTCGCGGTTCCCTCCACACCATCGGAATTCCAAATGGCATTGCTGCCTTTCGCCAATCACGCAGACCATTTGAACAACTGGTACAGATGACATGTGGAGCCCAAGATTTATCCTGGTCTCCAGGTGGACAGCCAAAGTATAATTTGTATGTCTTCTTAAGATCTGCAGTGATTGGGTGACATTGTGCTTTTGTTGTGAATGAACTACACACATAAGAGAAACTGTCTGGATGATTAATACAATTTCTAGGCATGATAACAACTGAAAGCCAACACAATTGATGCTGTCTATCACCTCTGCCTTCAATTTCCAGGTCGACGACCCAGAATTCCAACTCGAGAGTTAGATTTAGAAATAATGCAAAATTCGTCAAGAAGCTTACGTCAGCAAAACAAAACCTGAGGAACTATGTTTCCCGCCAAACTAAATTGGATACACAAGACATGCACATGCACACTAGGTCAAATTAATTATACTCAAATGGCAACTAGACAAGTGTCAATAAAACATAACTCAATATCTAGTCACCTAGAGAATGGTGATGCTGTCTATAAGATAAAAAACATGGAGAACTCTTGTAATACATTACATGTACATAATATCATATTACATATAGCTTCATCACAAAAACTTGACGTGCTAGAGAAAAACTAAACACAGATTTGAAATCAGTATGAAAAATACTACAAAACCCACATAAAATTACCTCTGATGAAAATGACCTGTTAACTAGTATAGCTGTATACTATAGATTAGTTACTAGTATAGCTGTACTATACCTGGACTTCTTGTAGACTGACTTGTGGATGGAACATTCTGGACATTCTCATCCTTAGCACAGAAATGTCTCAATATTGATGTGGTGTTTTTATTATAGGACAACTGCTGAGAGCACTCCAAACATTCCAGCTGGACCAGGACAAAGCAAGAA